ACAACAAGCAGCTCTGGACGCTCCCCTGCGTGAGCGGTGCTTTATAAATGCAAGTTGTTCTTGTTGTAGCTGTAATTAAAACATTGATGCGAGAGGGGTCTTAATCACGGTAATAAATACCTCAAGTTGGAATGACTTCTCAAGGGTTTGTTGACCCTTGTGCAGAAAAACCGAAGCCTCTCGAGACTCACAATAACTGATTCCAACCTTGGTTGGATTTAATTGGCTTAGATTGTTTCAGCCTGAAAGCTAATGTTGCCTTTTTTAAAAAAATTATTTTGCGCAAAAGCCATTTTATTTGTGCTGTGAAGAAAAGCAAGTGACGTTTTGACAACAACTAACAATATACTGAATGTGGTCAACGCTAATGCATCAACCGATTGAAGAAATTTAAGCCCTTTGAACCCATAGCCTCGGCTGATGTTCCAGTGTTAGAGATCCCAGGGCGCTATTCAAGAACAAAATAATAATAATAATAATAATCCTTGCATTTGATATAGCGCTTTTCACGTCGGGAGGACGTCCCAAAGCGCTTCACAGAACACACTGTAAAGTGAATTGACTGTATATTTGTGGGAGAACGCGGCAGCCAATTGCGCACAGCAATGTCCCACAAACAGTTGTAGATTGAAAATGACCAATTTATTATTGTTTTTGGTTTTGGAGGGATTATTATTAGGCTCTGTGTGGAATAAGGAAACTTGCCCAAAGTTTCGCCCTCTGCCTGGAATTGAACTCAGGTCTCTCGCTTGCAAAGCGAGTGCTCTAACCACTGAGCTACAGCACTCCAAGAAAATGGAGTTTCTCCTGGTTGTCCTGGCCAACAACCTCCCAGATGCAGTTGATCATTCTCTTCATGGCTGTTTGTGGAGCCATCAAGTGCTCCAGGACGCCACCCTATGTGAAGAGTGCTATATAAACACAAGTTGTTGTTGTTTTTGTTGTTGTGGAGCATTACTGTGTCCAAATTGGCTGCCGTGCTCGCCTATAAACTGCAGTCACTACACTTTACACGCCTAATAACAATCCCTCCAAAAAAAAACAATAATAAATTGGTCATTTTCAATCCACCACTGTTTTTGGGACATTGCTGTGTGCAATTGGCTGCCGCGTTCGCCCACAAATATGCAGTCAATTCACTTTACAGTATATTCTGTGAAACGCTTTGGGACGTCTAGAAGACGTGAAAAGCGCTATATCAAGTGCAAGGATTATTATTATTGTTAGTAGTATTTACATACCGTCCTGTGAAACACTTTGAGATTTGTGAAAAGCGCTATCACCAAGTATCACAGAAGTTGGGTTCATCAATTCCCCTTGATGTAAAGAAATACTTTCTGGTGTCTCTCCTGAAATTGCCCATTGCATTCTGTCTCAGTATACCCCAGAGTAAATCAGCATCTCCCCAAACATCTATTTTAATATTTAGGTTATGTGACAATTGAGGAGGAATAGATTTTTGCCTTTTAAAATTCAACCACCTCCCTCCCCACCCAAAAAAGACAGAAGCCAATTCAGTTATAAGTGAGCAACAGCGCAAAGCATAATCAGATCAGAAATAATAGCAATACAACTCTTCAACTAAATCAATCCAGCTTTGCAATAATAATAAAAATTCACTTAGGATTAGATATCTCAATCGAAATGTTAGCCTTGTCTTGGCATTAAATCTTTCAGTGTGTGAAAGGGGGGGCGGGGTGGAGAGGAAAAAACGATTAGCGTCCAAACTACTTGAGGTGTGATTGATGAAATGATTAATGTGTACAGATAATAATAATAATAATAATAATAATAATAGATGTGTTTTGGTTTCAAACATTTGCACGTCTCTTGAAAAAGGTCAAATGAATTTATGCAGAAAGCGGAGCTCTGCTCCTCATTAGTGAAATGTCCTATTCATTCCAACCAACTCTGAGAATTGCCTTCCTCCCACAGCAAAGTGCCGACTGCTGCAAATGCTGAATAAATGTTTTGTGAATTGGTATTGCAGGAGATTCCCTCTGCCCTCACCGCAAGTGAAGGGAATCAAGGCACATAGGTTTCCACGGGGGCACAAGGAGACTGAAACACGTGGCTTTTTTCAGTAGGAAGTCCTCAAGGATTGAGATTTCCTGTGAAAGCTCAGGGTGGGCCTGTGATTGGGAAGTGTCAGCAGATTGAGCGGATTACAGATGATATCCCAGCATTCCCACCTCACAACAACAACAGCTTGCATTTACCCAGCGCCCCTCACGCAGGACAGGGTCCTAGAGCGCTTGACAGTGGTGAGAGCCCGACGTCAAACTTGGGGGGAGGGAGTGGAGAGGTGACCTTAGGAGCGGTCGAAGAGGAAGATCTTCAGGGGAGACCGTGAAATACCATTGCAGGTTAAACAGCTGTAACCGCACAGCTTGATATGAAGAGCTGTCCAACAAGCTTAGGACCATCTTAACCATTATGCGCCAGTCCTGGTACAGGAGAGTGACATAATGTTGCTGTGACTTTTGCATAGCGTAGCGTGCTTTGCAAAGTGGTATTATGCGTTCCAATCAGTTTCGAAAGCTGCGGAGGTGTGGGTTATGAACACACAGAGATACAGGATGCTCTGTGTCTTTGTTCTTCCGTGTGTAACCTGTGCAGCGCCTTCGAATCTCAATCTACTTTCAAAATTAGTGAGTTTCTCCAACCTGTGCGCAATTGGCTGCTGGGTTTCGCCCACAAATATACAGTCAATTCTCTTTACAGTATATCCTGTGAAGCGTTTCGAGACATCTCGACAACGTAGCAAGGGGCTGTGTCAAATTTAAGCATTATTACTATTATTATTCAAGAGGAAGGACACAGATCATCTGGTATCTCTGTGTGTTCATACCCCACATCCCTGCAGATTGTGGTGAGGGGGAAGTCAAAGGGAAACATTTTAGTCCCAATTGCTCATTTCTTGTTTAAAAAGCAGCCGTATCGATGCTGCAAATGGGGGAGATGTGTGTTCAGGATAAGATCAAATGGATTGTAGATGCCTTCTTCGTCCAAACCAATCCTGTGATCTTGTGAAATATGTTTGAGATGGTGATGCACAGCCTGTAGGGGAGAGTGGATCAAAATAAAAGTTTGTGCTTTTATCATCTTTGCTTTTATTATCAGCATTACAACAACAACAACAACAAGATTCCATTTATAAAGCGCCTTTCACGTCAGGAGGACGTCCCAAGGCGCTGCACAGTTGGGTCATGACCCGAGCAGGGGGGAAATGGTCAGGGTGAGGGGAGGGAAGGGAGGGAGCGAGGAGGGGGAAGAGAGTCGAGAGGGGAGCTGAAGGCAGTGCTGTGAATGGCTGTAAAATGGGCTCCAGTTGAAGGTCAACACATGGCTTTTGGGATCTGATTTGGAAAATCTTAAGAGATAATGGGCGGCACCACATTAGCACTTGAAAAGGAAAGCAAAATCTGCTCTAGTATCCGTGCTTTTATCTTCAAGATAAAAGAACAATCTTGGTGTTCCCTCTTTCACAATCCGCTCCTGTTTGAAGTTGCGAGTTTCTGATTTACACAAGTTATTTTGTAAAGTGCTGTCCTCAGCAAAGAACTGGCTGTTTTTTTTAATTCAATAGTTTAATGCCTTTGCCCCCCCAAAAATTTAAGCTATCGTTTTCATTGAGAACTCAACAGGTCTCCCCAGGATCTTGAAGTTAGCCCAGATTTGCATCTTTGGGGGAATTATTAGAATTATTAGAGTCTTGGGATTTGATTAAACCTGACACATAAAGCCTTTCTAGATGGGAAAGTCAACACTGATATTAACCCACAGTTTGATCTGTCACCTTGTCACAGACAAGTGGCACTTTTTTTTGCATCCGAGAAAACAACTATTACGTGTGTTCGTTGACAGGAGATTAGTGCAAATATCTATAAAATAGTATTTTTTTCAGGAAGTTACTTCCTGATCTTGTGATCGTTAAATGACTTAGCAGTTAGTTCTTAGGACAACCAGTGATCGCATTCCCATTGAAATATTTGCAGGTTATACATTCATGCCTGCAAATAGGAATTACTGCATCACAATAAAAAAACATGATTTAAAGGTTACGCAGTTGTATGAATTCGAGCCAAGCTTAATAATTGTTTTCTCCCCCATCATTTCACATGGGTTCTATCTTCATTGCACTCTGTAGACCCTTCTTTCAATACACTTTCATTACTCAGAACTTTTTAATATTGCGTTGCCCGACTGCCTGCTGTTTCGGAAGATTTAAAGGGCCATAAAATGAAAGCAACAACACTCTTAAACCCTTTTATTGGCAAGGCAGAAGAAGAACAGACAATAAAAATAACACATAGAATAGTAAACGATCGTGTTTCAATGGGTGGAGATGATTCTCTTTTCTCCAATGGTTGACAGTGCCTGAAACCCTGGACATGAGAGTTGGGATAGGCCCTTTACGTGTGCCATCCACTGTCACCCAATCTGCTCCTTCGACCAAAACCTGCAAAACAAAAGTCATTTCAATTCAGCTGAACAGCAGTAGAACTTCAGCGATGACGTTCTACTTAGCTTCATAGAGTTTTCTGGATCCTTGCATTTATTATAATAATAATAATAAGCCCTACAATTGAGACGTCTCAAAGACGTGAAAAGCGCTATAACAAATGCAAGGGTTATTATTATTATTATAGAGCGTCTTATCACGCCTCCGAGACGTCTAGAAGCGCTTCACAGGATACACTGTATGGTTTGTGGGTATAATGTAAACGAAACCTAAAAGGCAGATGGGACCTTGGATTAACATCTGGTCTGAGGGATGGCAACTGCTCCTCCCAGCACCGCGCTGGAGTTTCAGCCCTGACCCCAGGACTTCAAAATCACAAGGTGGGACTTGGAGCCCCTCAGCCTTGTGACTCAGAGGCGAGAGGGCCACTGATTGAGCCAGGCTGACACCGGTTCCATTTTAACACGGATTTGTGTTTGGTTTGTAGCTCCTCACCCCGAGGCTGAAGACGGGAACACTGTTGAACGGTTAAACAATGGCGCGCTCGATCGAGTGGCTTCAACACCGTTACAGGGGCCTACTATCGAGAGACACCTCTGAAACAACAGCCCTGCTGTCTTCACCATTGCCATCCCAACCACTTCCTTCACGGAGCCACAGAAATATCATCCCAAACAACAGCACCTTCGCACAAGGCTCTCAAATGTGGAAGAAGGATTATCCAAGCAACAAAATAAGGACCACAAAATACACCTTCGTCAATTTCCTGCCAAAGAATGTCTTTGAGCAGTTTTACCGGTAAGCACAATCTTTAAGTGAACTCACACCATTCCTTTTAAACTGCGAGGGTGTGTCTGTTCACCGTGACCAGAGAGTTGTAGGTTTAAAATACGTCTCAACTCCCCTTTCCTTGCCAAATGGTGGATAATATTTAAAGGGTCTGGTGAAAAGGTGGGGCATTCAGATTAAAAGGTCTGCCATAATCTAATAATAAACTGGTGGAACAGGCCTCAAGGGGCTGAATGGCCCTCTCCTGTTCCTGTTGTCCTATGTTTCTGGTCTAATCTCTATATTCGTGGTCACGGAAGCTCGGAACAGTGCTGATATCTTGGTCCTGTTCGTTCCATTTCAGTCTGTACTGTGGTGAAAGATGCTTTTCATCAATGTTTGTGTTTTGGTGCTCCGAGACACTACTCCTTGTGAAGGGCGCTATCTAAATGCAAACTGTCATTGTTGGTGGGGAGATAGCATTGGGAAATGAATGGTTAAATAGAATCATCATCATAAGGTTTGCCAATCCAGATTTTAGCATAACTTTTCTTGGCCAAGTGTGTGTGCGTCCATTGTTTTTTTGGTGCTATCTGAAGGTATGGATTTGCTTCTAATGCAACTGGCGCTCTCACTCCAATTCTGCTCACACAATTCATTTTGTCGGAGATTGTTTGTCTTGATTATTTTCCCCATTTGTTGGAAACGCTGAGCAAAAAAGCTCACAGGAGAGAGTGAGAAAACCTCGTGGTGAACACCATCGACTCGTGTGTCTATTTCCCAAGAGTTTATCACAGAAGTTTGTTGGCAGAGACCTGGGTGAAAGCATCTCGTGCCGGTTTACACTTTATACTGTGAAGCGATGTGAAGCAGGGACGAAAAACAACAACTGCAGAAATAACCGGCTTTGCTATAAATTGTCTCATCGAATTCTTCCATCCTTAACAGGTTTGCAAACCTCTACTTTCTGTTCCTGGTTCTTCTGAACTGGTTCCCTTCCATTGAGGTGTTCTGCAGAGAGATAACCATGCTGCCCCTGGTCATTGTAATGTCCATCACTGCTGTTAAAGATGCCGTTGAAGACTTCAAGAGATACAAGTTCGATCAAAAAATAAACCAAGCCAAGACGCGGGTTTTCGATAGGTAAGAGGTACATCACATGCCCTTTCGGTTCTTTTTACAAAGGGCTGTTCAACCAAAGTCTACCCCCAAAAATACTACTACTAATAATAATAATAAATTTGGTCACTCGTTCCACGACTGTTTGCGGGGCAATTGGCTGCCACGTTTCGCCCACAAAATGCACAGTCAATTCACTTCACAGTATATTCTGTGAAGCGCTTTGAGACGTCTCGAAGACGTGATAAGGCGTTGTATAAAATGCCAGGGTTATTATTATTAATGTATTTTGTCCTGAACTGGTTTTGATGAATGTGAGAGGGAGATACCAGAGAATTCTTCTTTTTAAAAAATACTTTAAATGCTACAGATCTGTTGATTAGTCACTTATAGGATTTTCGACCAGGATAAATTGGAGTAAAGCATCGCAGAACGACTGTTACAAAATCCAATAATGGCATGAAATGCTGCCGACATTTAGGCTCCCGAAGGCCACCAAGGACTTTGAAACTCAGTCAGAACTTTGGTTTGGGAGCCAGCTTTGAGCGCTGCCACCTCCGTGAGGGAAAAACAACAATCTACATTTGTATAGCGTCTCTCACGTCAGGAGGACGTCTCAAAGTGCTTTACACAGCTGACTGGGCTTCCAACCTGGTGCCTGAAAGTGTAGTCCCATGGGATTAATTGAGAGGAAGAGAAGGGAGTTTCTCCCCGTGTCCTGGCTGACAATCCCCAAATAAAATTGTCAGTCACCTGGCTGTTTGTGTGACAAACATTGCTGTGTGCAAATTGGCTGCCACCAATTTAGGATGTATGTGCTTTGCCACGCCTCGAGCGTGTGATAAGGTGCAGAGCCAAAACAAAGACTATTATTCCATTCTAATCGTGGAACCGCAGATAAAGAAAATAGGACGTTTTTTTTCATCAACAAACGGTAAAGTTTACAATTGCTTTTATTTCACGGTCGGTGAAAATCCTATTTGGAAATCAATGAATTGTGAGCTTAATCTGACAGGTGTTAGGACCCGGGGGAACAGCTTCCCTTTCAATACTAAAATACAATGAACCGATTAGATAATACCTGGGATTTGCAACAAAGGCGACAGGTGTTGGAGCACAAAGCAGACACTGGAACTAACACCAAACCAGAAGAATAACTCGGGTGTCTTATCGTTTAGTATTTGCGCTCTGCCCGAGAGCAGGTGAACGGGTCACACGTTGACAACATGGGAGACAGAGGAGAAAACTTATGAGAGATGATCATGAGCCGAGTGAGCTTACGATGGAAAGGAAAAGGACCAACGTTTAATATTCCCGACATGGAATCATGCCTTCAGTAACCCCTGAACACACGAATGAAAGCGGAGGTGTGAGTGAACGGAATAAAGAAGAACTCCAACGCTCTGTGGTCTCCAGTTTGCCCTTCGAAGACTCAAACGCGAATGGTAACCCCAACAAGTGCTTCGCCACCAACGCCATTAAGACCACCAAGTATTCCTTGTGGTCCTTCATCCCAAAGAACCTCTTCCAGCAGTTCCACCGCTCCGCCAACGTTTACTTTGTGATGATCGACATCCTCAACTTCGTGCCCTTTGTCAGTGCCTTCCAGCCAACCTTCTCCCTCGTTCCCCTCTCCATCATCGTGTCCGTCACGGCCGTTAAAGACGCCTGGGAGGACTTCCGCAGATACCAGTCGGACAAAGAGATCAATAACATGAGATGCTGGGTCTTCAGCAGGTAACTCATGACGGCTCCACATCAGGATTTGCCAATGAATGCCTTTTAGCTTCCAAATAACGTCAATTTATTGAATGTTTAAGTATCATCTTTGAGTAGTTTGTTTGGTGTGTTGTGCTCAGGTTGAGGCCCGTCGGTGCTAGTGAACACTGTTGACTAAGAAGACGACCTGTTTCTAGGTGTTTTTCAATGCAGCTCTGAAACCACCAGGTTTCCATCCGGCTCCAACCTTCTCCCTGTCCCTCATCCCCTCCGCTCCACCATCAGCGGCTGTGCTTTCAACCACTACTCTCCGATTCTCTGGAACTCCTGCCTCAATCCCTTCCCCTTCCTTGCCCCCTCGTTGCCCATTATCAGATTGCACTTGAAGACCTTCCTCTTGGACTGTGCCTCCAGGCACCTGCCCTATTCCCCGGCTCAGGTTGTTATATAGCTCGAGTTTAGTTTATTAGTTAGATATTTAGAAGGGATCCTGGTGGTGGAGCTACATCTTGTTATGCCTTCAAAACCCTCCGCGCCTTGCTCCTCCCTACCTCTGTGACCTGCTAATTCCATATAGACTTGTCTCTCTATTCAGCAGGCTCCGGCCTGCTTCACGTCCCCTACCCTGCCCGCCCCACCATCGCCTTCAGCCTTCCTGCCCCCACCCTCTAATAATAATAATAATAATAATAATAATAATAATAATAATAATAATAATAGCAGAGTCCTTGTATTTGATATAGCACCTTATCACTTTGTTGAAACGTCTCAAAGCGCTTCACAGGAAATATTGTTAAGTGAATTGATTGTATGTTTTGTGGGCGATAGTATATATACATAATAAACTGGGCAAGAAAATGAGTCTTCATAACAAAGACATATTGGCCGTTTAATACTAATAAAAAGATTGATGTACATAAGCAGGAAGGTCAGGTCTGACTCGATGGTAACCCGTTTCTTTCAGTGTCTGTAGAATTTGTCTTTCCACAAGCCGTGCTTCTGCAGTGAAGCTGTCAAACCTGTAACAGATGGAAAAAATAATGGGACTTTCTGTCAAATCATTCTTTTAAAGGTTCCCTGAGACAACCCACCTCTCTTTAAACCTCTCTGAAGATCCCTATAGCTCCATCGTGTCACTGAATGATAATCTTGTTATGTCATGAATTTGATGCTGATAGCTGCATCTGTAAGGTGACCTGTAATCAAGAGTAAAGCTTCTGGTGAATAGTGATCAGCCTCACATGCCTCAGGTTAGAAGTGCACTGGGAAAGAGGATTAATAATAAAACAAGGAGGATTTAGTAATTCAGGGAACAGTAGCAATGGATGAGCTGAAAGGTTTTTTTCTTGTGCTTAAAATTTCAGCTTCACCATGAACAAGTTATAATAATAATCCTTGTATTTGATGCAGTGCCTTATCACGAGGTTGAGACGTCTCAAAGCGCTTCACAGGATACACTGTAAAGTGAATTGAACCGTGTATTCCGTGGGCAAACAAAACATAATAAGTTATGACGTTTCCACTTCCCAGGCTCACAACATCTGAGTAAAACTGCGTAAGTGATGCTGATCAGTAGAGCGTATTGTGCTGTGGATTTGGACCCAACAGGAAATGGTTTGACTGACCCATTGCACTTCACACCCGGTAACTAGTAGAATAAGAGAGGTGGATTCTCATTCCCTGGGGACTTCTAACCCACATCACTTGAGTCCTCGTTCTTGGAGTGTTTTTTTTAAAAAAAATGCAAGCCTTTCAAAGCAGTTTTTGTAGTCAGTTGGCTGGGCAATATGTACCTGGAAGCCAAGACAGAAAATGGGAGGGGGTTAGCGAATAAAAGACATGAACGCCAAATTAGTTTTTGTTTTTTCTGCAACTCTGTAAAAATTGTGGGATATTTAATTTATGTCGCAGGAAACGGAAGGAGTATGTGGAGAGACCCTGGCAGGACGTGGGAGTGGGTGACTTTGTAAGGCTCGCATGCAATGAAATTATTCCAGCTGATCTGTTGCTCTTACACACCTCGGAGCAGAATGGAAGCTGCAACATCGAGACCTCCAACCTGGATGGAGAGACCAACCTCAAGCAAAGGCGGGCAGTCAAGGGCTTCGCACAACCTGTAAGAACCTGCTTCTTCCAATTTCTAACAATATAATAATCCCTGTGTTTGATACAGTGCCTTATCACGTCTTCGAGACGTCTCAAAGGGCTTGGGAAGGTCTTCGAGTGTTTTGTTTCGGATATGCACGCAACTTGGTGGCATCAAAGTGTCAACTGGTGGACACTGGTGCTGGAATTTTGTCACGTGGCAAAGATGTAATCATCCTTGCACTTGACATAGAATGATCTATAACATCGTTAAGACTGAATGATAATCTTGCTAGGTCATGAATTTGATGATGATAGCTGCATCTGTAAGGCGACCTGTAATCGAGAGTAAAGCGCTTCACAAAATATTCTGTAAAATGCAGTGATCTTGCCCACAAATATGCAGCTGAATTGGACTTGATGCTTGGCTCATCCAGATGTGGGCAATTCAGAAATCTGAGCATGCACAGAGCGTGACGTGTGATGTTGTGTTCATCTACTTGTCCAATGTGTTTATTTTCCTTCACTCTGTCTTCCTCTTTGCTGGTTCTTTTCACCACCGGGCTGATAAACATCCACGGGCCTTTCCTCCATTGAGTACAGGAGAGATGCCCGATGATTAATTTTAGTTTCTCACGTTGTAAGAGTGACAGAGTTGTTAAGTTACGAATTGAATTTGGAACATTTTGCTGTTTGTAATCCATACTGTGATTTTAATTTTTACTTTTTTTTTAATCCTTTCTATCCCGTCACTCTGCACGCCACAACATGAAATGTTATTTTCCAGGAGTTTGAACCGGAGAATTTCAACTGCATTATAACCTGTGACATTCCCAATAATGAGTTTAACAAGTTTAATGGCTTTATGTGAGTATGGCCATCTCTTATTTCACCAATACTTTATGTAATACTGTTTTACTTTGTTCTGATAGAGGTATACAGTATTTATTGCAGTGCCTTTCATGTCGGAAGGAAGTCTCAAAGCGCTTGATAATGCTGGCTAGGCAACAACAACAGGCAGGCACCTGAGCTGCGTGTAGGGGAGAGGAAAGACGATCAAATGTATGGTCAAAGAGGTACTTTTTGAGATAATAATAATCCTTGCATTTGATACAGTGCTTTATTATCACGTCTCAAAGTGCTTCACAAAATATACTGTAAAGCGAATTGACTGTATGTTTTGTGGGTGGAACGCGGCAGCCAATTGCGCACAGCAGCGTCCAACAGACTGTCGTGGATCGAGTGACCAATTTATTATTTCTTTTGAAGGAGTTATTACCCTGGGAAAAGCGATCCGTCGATCGACTAATAACCGGGTTCCTTACTTACTGCCGGTAAACAGAGGCATGTGTGTGTGTGGAGTAAGGAAACTTGCCCAGCATTTCGTCCCCTGCCCGGGAATAGAATCCAGGTCTCTTGCTTGCGAGGCGAGTGCGCTAACCACTGAGCTACAGGTCTCAGTAGCTCCGTTAATCTCAACATGAAGGGCCCCTTAAAAAAAACACACCAGACTATTTCATTGTGCTAGCTCCCAACTGATCGGCGGGGACGGTTTAGTTGGTAATGAGTATATGCTTTAAGAACAGGCAGGGGAATCGTGGCTTGTATAAATCATCTGTGCGTTTTTTTTATTGAATGGTAGAGAGAAACCTGACAGAAGGAAAATTGGCTTTGATAAACACAGCCTCCTGCTTCGTGGCTGCACCATCCGGAACACCGAGGTCACTGTGGGAATAGTTGTCTATGCAGGTAGGCAGGGCGGGTTATTAATTATTCCCACAAAGCTGATCTCGAGGGCTCATCGGGAAAATGAGCCATTTTGATGTATATACTATTAATCAAAAAGCCTCTGTATGGAATAATTGTAACCTACTTTACCGAGAAGCAAAGGACCTCTTCTTGTAATGAGAATCCGAACAAATCTCTCTTGGATTCTTGTGCTCATTCGACGCATCCAATGTTCTTTTTGCGAATCCAATGTGGTTCAGCGATCACTCCTCTCAAATGGTGACATTCGCAAACCAAAGAGGAGTTTGGCCACTGATCAACTCTCACTGAACGAGCTCTCCCGCGAATGCCATGCAACCGAATAAAGATAAATTCCCACAATAACACTGAATAAAGATGGAAATTCCCAATGCATCTGCCGTTCCGACTTTGCCTGTTGGTCAAGACCCCTCCACCTTCTCCTTGCCTGAAGTCCCTCTCTGTGGCCCACACTCCGAGTTATTATCCTACGTAGGTGCAAGTTGTTGTTAATAGTTCTCACAAGGAACGCATTATGAAATATCACCAATTTCCCCCCCAGTGTCTTGTCAACAGGTTTCAAGGTGACTTTTATGAGATTTGCAACAAAAAGGCAGGTCCCGTGGCTACTGCTCACTACTGTAATAACTCTCCTGGAGAGAAGAGACTGAGGGATATGGTGAGATAACGAAGTTCAGCTCAATCAAAAGGAGCAGACACGTTGGGTCTAATTGACTTTTGTTGCTGATAATATTCACATCATCTTTTAAAATCTTAACGATAGCTGCAGCAGCGAGACCTTATTTTCACAGCTTTCTTTTTGTTCTGTAACAGAAAACTGGTAAAGCTCCACTTTACCGTCAATGCCTGCTAATTGTGGCAAGCTCTTTAAACAGATTTTAATGGAGCACTAATATAATGGTCTGTAATGTCAGTCTTGATCGAATTAATTCTCTGCTTCCAGTCCATTAAACGCATCTAAAGCTCCTCACAACGTCAGCATGATGTGCCTTGTAGAAGCGGTAGATTTTGTTAAGTAGTCACATTCTGGGTTTCTGAGTAAAGTTTTGTGTAGTGTGACTGTGGTATATGTTAATCCAGTATCCAATTAGTTCCCATGGAGAGACTTTTCATTCAATTGTGGCACAAACAATAGGAATTGTTTAGGGAATTTCTACTATTTTTCTTTCCTTTTGCCCATGGGTTTTTGTTTTAAGATTTGGGTTGTTGGTCTTTAAGAATTGTTTGTTGGTCAACCAGGCTGAAGCCCATCTCTACGACATAATGTGATTAAGACGTCAAATAACAAAGGTTATTTTCTAAACACAAAAATATCCTCTTCAACGACATCAATGGTCACATCTCCCTCACCCCTTCTCTCCCCTTCCCCTTCTCCTCCCTTCCATTCTCTCCCCTTCCCCTTCTCTCACCCTCCCTTTCTCCCCCATTCCCCTTCTCTCTCTCCCCCACCTCCCCTTCTCCTTTGCTCGGCACGTAACTATGTTTTTGTGAAGGGCTCCAAGACATTATCCGACCTATGCACTGTGCAAATTCAAGTTGTTGTAGTGGCGTCTTTTCCTTTTAAGGCCATGAGACAAAAGCGATGCTGAATACCAACGGTCCTCGCTATAAGAGAAGCAAGCTGGAGAGAAGGATGAACATCGATGTCCTGTGCTGTGTGGGGCTGCTGGTGATAATGTGTCTGATTGGGGCCCTGGGTAAGACATGGATCAATAGTTACATCCAACCCAACTGCTGTAACTCGTGCAGCTGATAAGAACGTAAGAACATGAGAAATGCTAGACAAAAAAAAAAGACCTGCCGGTCGCATGCACCTGTGTCCTGATGTACTATATATCCCATCATGTTATTTCATACAAGAAAACCATCTAATCTGTGTTTGAAGGAATTAACATTTCCTGCTTCAACCGTCTGTCTCCCCAGGGAGCCTGTTCCGCAAGTTTACTATTTGTTCACTGAATTAGTTAGTTCACTGAACTAACGGTATGTTGACATTTGTTACAAAAAGGTTAGAATATAAGAGTAGGGAAGTCTTGCTGCAACTGTATAGGGCCCTGGTGAGACCGCACCGAGAGTATTGTGTGCAGTTTTGGTCTCCTTATTTAAGAAAGGATGTACTCGCCTTGGAGGGGGTACAACGTAGATTCACTGGGTTGGTACTAGGGATGAGGGGGATGAGTTATTAGGATAGGTTGAGCAATTTAGGCCTATATTCTCTAGAATATAGAAGAATGAGAGGTGATCTTATAGAAACCTATAAGATTATTAAGCGGCACAACAGAATAGACAGTGGGAGACTTTTCCCCTGGTTGGAGAAGCTATAACCAGCAGTCACAGTCTTAAAATTAGGGGTAAGCCCTTTCGCACTGAGTTGAGGAAAAACTTCTTCACTCAGAGGGTAGTGAATTTATGGCATTCTCTACCCCAAAGGGCAGTAGATGCTCAGTCCTTGAATATATTCAAGACTGAGATTGATAGATTTCTTGTGGATGAAGGGATATGGGGATAGGGCGGACGGGTGGAGTTAGAATAGATCAGCCATGATCTTATTGAATGGCGGGGCAGGCTAGACGGGCTGAATGGCCTACTCCTGCTCCTAATTCTTATGTTCTTATGCTCTTATGAATTTACCCCCCCTTCAAACCCAGACACTGATTTGGTGCAAATGATGGGTGCGGAGGTGGAAATGGACAATATCCGAAGGAATCAATTGAACCTGATCTCTATGGGGGGATGGATGATAGTTAAGTTGTTTTGGGGGGATGTGTCGTAATACAGTTTATCATCAATGAGCAGCCATAGTTTACATCTTAAATGGTCTTTCTAGTCACAGGTGTCTCTTGACAACTTCTAATCAAAATCCCACCTGAAGGAAGAATCAGTCTTGATATCTGTTTGTGTTCTCCTCAAGTGTCCATGTGACAAAAAGGATCAATTTTTATCCATCTTTCCCAAACTTACATTCTTCTAAATTGCTGCCGAGATCTGGACCACTGACTGCAATGTGGGTCTAATGAGAAAACCCAGTGAGTGAGATAGCCTGCTACAGTTATTGCAATGAACTGAGTGATGTTTATTGACAGTGTGACAGAAGATAAGTCAGTCTCATTCTTCATACCTTGAAATGGAGGCTGATGTGATGTGAGCTTTACCGTAGTTAAATACGCTGAAGGAATTTGATTGGAAGTGAAGTTTAGGGAGATCATGGCAGCAGATGAGAAGTGCCAAAGATTAATACAAGTGAGAAGAGTTGAGGGCACCATCTATTAACCTGTTCACTTCAGATTCCAATCTAATGAAACTAATATTAAGCAACTAGTCTATGAAACCAAGCTATGTTTTCTCCTCTTCACTATCCAACCTGATATGAATGTTTCCTTCCGTGGACAAATGACTGTTGAAGTTGCCTTGCTTGATGTAGAGATTAATGTTAACTCTGATCACACTTTTTCTTTTTTTTGCTTGACTCAGGTCATTGTGTTTGGCTGGGATCTTTCCCTTTGCGGCCTTTGTTCGAACTCCCAGATCACAACGGCAACTTTACCTCACCTACTCTGTCTGGCTTCTATATGTTCCTCACCATGGTCATTCTGCTGCAGGTAACGAACGCCAAGATCTTTAGTAATTTCACTGGAGGACATTTTGCCCAAACCTGCTCCCAGTCGGTCAGCTGCGTGCAGTGCTTTGAGATGTCGTTGCAACGTGAAAGATGCCATATATATATATAATGTAATTTTTTNGTGGTTGCAACCATTCTGCCCCCACTCTCTGGAACTTCATCCCAGAGTCCCCCTGCCTCTCTTCCCCCACATTTAACGACTGCCTTTAAGATCTATCTTTTTAACCGTGTCTTCGGTTATCTTTCCCCCCTTCCAACCTTCTTGGATCAGCTACGCCAGAGCAGGCTGCCAGTCAGTTGTGTTGTGACGAGCATTTGAGGTGAAGACCCAACGTGAACAGCATTGTAAATCGTTGGTGTTGTGCGGTTTGAGTACTGAACTGTCCTAACTGTTCCCTCCCGTACAAGAACATATACAACTCTGCTCAACAAAGACAACAACTTGCATTTACACAGAAGCCTTCACACACGATAGCATCTCAAAGCTCACTTTGCACAGACCCAAACAATCTTTATTATAGTTCACAACATCTGTCACGCTGTTGATTTTGATTTCTATCCATTTAATTGGGCAGATTAGATTGACATGCGTGGACTTGCAGAGTGTTTCTGATTCAATTTAACTGTTGTTTTTTCGGGAAGAGGTGGTGGGGGTGCGGGGAAAGTAATTTGCACTAATCTAATAAATAAATCGCACCTTATATTCATAGGGTATAAAACATGTATGAGTGTGTGAATTTAATTTCAATAATATTAGTGTTTGGAAGATTGGCCAAGTGTGCAGATGATTCATGTTTTATTATTTATCGTCCAAACAAGAACTATGTGTTTGGGGCCTCATTTAAGAAATAATAGCGAGTGGGCAGATCTGCCAAATGTATTTAATAATAATAATAATAATAATAATTCTTGCATTTGATATAGCACCTTGTCACCTTGTTGAGTCATCTCAAAGCACTTAATTCCTGTAAAACTCTTTGAGATGACTCGACAACGTGATAAGGTGCTATACCAAATGAAAGGATTATTATTATTATTAATATCAAATACCTACCTTAGCTTCACTCTTTATCTATCTTGAAGTCCTCACTCTTAATCTATCTGTCTCCACTTAAAAAATACTTTGACACCAACTTCATCAGAGATGTCTCCTGACTGAAAAGCGCTGTATAAATGCAAGTTGTTTACGGATTCTGCTTCAACCACCATTTTTGAAATCAAAATCACCAGTTTCCTTGAGTTGAGATGTTAAATAAGGCCCCGTCTGCCTGTTCAGGTGAATGTTAAAGATCCCGCGGAGCTACTTGAAAAAGGAAGGGAGTTTCTCTCTCCCAATGTCCTGGCCAACAATCTCCCAGATACGATTGGTCACTCATTCCATGGGTGTATGTGGGATATTTCCGAGAGCCTGGGATGGGCAATGTGCATGAGAATTCATGGTTAGCCAGTGACGAGATATTCTTGAGCTTGAAAAACCCTGATATCTGAACGGTCTTGGTTTCCTTTCTTGCAGATTTTAATCCCCATTTCCTTGTACGTTTCGATTGAACTTGTAAAACTGGGCCAGATATTCTTCCTACACAATGACGTGGACCTTTACGATGAAATCACCAACACCCGTCTGCAGTGCCGAGCTCTGAACATCACTGAGGACCTGGGGCAGATTCAGTACATCTTCTCAGACAAGACGGGAACTCTCACTGAGAACAAGATGGTTTTCTGTCGCTGCACAATCATGGGCACGGAGTTCCCACATGATGAAAATGGTAAAGGGCTGGATTCCTACCCAAATTACCGAATGAGTGAATGTCCCAAAACATAAGCCTGTCAGGAATTAAAAGTCTATTTGTACATTGTTGATCTCTTCAGCAACGATTTGTGGAGTCCACGGAAGAAATGAAATTGACGTGTCCAATGGCTTTTTATCACTACGATATGTTTGCATGTTTCTATTCTCTAACAGTACTGTGTTAAAACCGATCTTAATGTCTGTCATACAGTGGGCTCTATTCAAACTCGCGTCTCAGTCAAAGCTATGCTACTTGGGAAGTCAGAGTATTGAGGGATTATGGACAAAAGGGGGTTTAAGATAAACTGTTGATCTAATAAACTGGCAGTAAAAACAGGCTGGATGGGCTGAATGGTCTCTTTCTGCCCTTCGTGTTCCTATAATTACACGTTGCCTCACACGGTTTCATAGATGTTTATAAAGCAGGTATTAGAGGCCTTTTCTGCTTATTTCCAAACTTTCTGTTGTTTTATTAGCAAAGCGCCTGGCTGCACAGAGAGAGTTTGACTCAGATGATGAGGACGAGCTCCAGTTGCAGAGGGCGGTCCCTGACAATCGAATGCCTTATGTGAGACGGAAGCAGCCACAGAGCATCTATTCCCAGCGCCGGTTCACTTACTCCGAAAGCCGTAAGAGGACAATATGCGACAGCCTCCCCTCTCAGCAAGTGGCGTTCAACTCCTCAATAGTAAGTCGCCAATGCAATAATATAATAGTCCTCAGACTTGATACAGCACCTTATCATGTCATCAAAACCTCTCAAAGTGCTTCGCAAGACTTTGCTGTAACCTGTAGTGATCGGATTGTGTATTTTATGGGGATCCAGTTAAGCCTCTACATTGTTCCTTCATAGTGTGGCATGTTCTACAATCCTCTCTCTGGTATTCCCTGTCTCAATCCCAAACCCCCCATCCCCCCCCCCCACCCCACCGCACCCCCCCTTTTTGGCCATATTCGGATTGCACGTGAAGACTTTTCTCTGCGACTGGGAGCAGTTTAAATTATTCTCTATATAACGTTACTCCACTTCTTCCCATTCTACGTAATTATAACAGACATTTAAAGTCTTTCCTAGCAGGTGGGCAAGGAGTAGAGGGGTGGGGGGGGGGGGGGGGGGGAGAGGGGAGGGGAATAAGCTGAACTCCCAGTTGAAAATTTACCACCAACCCAGGCCTTGAGATTCCAAACTCATTATTAAATGCTTGAAACCACTTCTGCTCTTATTTGTACCAAACTCAATGCACTGAATTCTTAAAGAGGTATTTGGTTCTAAGCAAGCAGTCTGAGGGTGAGGAGCAATTTCAGGAGAATTACTTTCGTGTTGGGGTGCGTTTCACAGACGATGCTTGAGGATAAGCTTATTGTACATCTGCTTCACATCGGGGGGATAGTCACTTATACAGCAGAAGTAATTAGCAAGGCTTTCATCTACCCTGGGACTGGTATGGAGCCTCGGTTTAGTGAGACTGTCCTTACCCCAGGGATAATTGCACATTTGGTTATAGACAGATAACGGGAATGAAGCCGGGCAAGTGGAATAATTGAATTAATCGCAACCTTTTACTTTGCAGTATTAATATCGTAAGCTCTTCCATAAATAAAAAGGCAGTTGACCTGAAAGTAGCCTCACAAGGAAACGGCATTTATTTTGTGACTGTATTCCAGTGTCAGCTTCTCCTTATTCCAACTCTCTCTTTTTATTCTTTACTGAGCCCTTCATTGCAAACGAGAAGTCAGTCCAAAATAAAATCCTCGTCATTGTTCGGCTAAATGGCGCAAAGTTGTACCAGTCGCTGAAGCGAGACGAGATGTTATGTTTCACGAAGGGCGTAACGTAAATGCAAATTGTTGATGTTGCTGTAAAAAGTGTCTTGTTGAGATCAGACTTTCCATCCTGAAGACTGACCCCGAACTAATTGGCTCCCACTCCTCTCTGGAGGGAGTTCAAGCTCCAGTCCCTGTGCCAGCCCACACCATCCAGAACAAGGGGGGCATGATCTTAAAGTTAGAGCTTGGCCATTTAGGAGTGATATCAGGAGACAGTTTTTCACCCAAAGGGTCGTGGAAGTCTGGAATTCTTTCCCCAAAAATGCTGTGGATGCTGGATCTATTCACATCTTCAAGTCTGAGGTGGATAGATATAGATATTTGTAAGGTCAGGGTACTAAGGGATAGGGGCAAGGGCGGGTAATTGGAGTTGAGATACAAATCCGCTTTGATCTTATCGAATGGCTGAACAGGCTCAAGGGGCTGAATGGCCTCCTCCTGTTTCTATGTTTCTATGTAACCAGCTGGCCTGTAATGGTAGTTTCTGGATCTGTAAATCCTCGTGTCTCTGTGTAGTGTGTCCAATGACATGATCATCTGGGCTTCTGAGGCTGGTGGAAGGCAGCCAATCCCAGATGTTTTGTAGCTTCACTTGATTGGGTTGAGGGTAGATTAATAGGCACTGGTCATTAGGAAATGAAATGGCCAGGGATGAGCAGAGCTGTTGGGGTGGGCGGTCATGCAGGAACAGTGGGGAATGTTGGCTTGACTGGCACAATGATGCAATAATAATAATTCTGTGTATATATAACGTACCGATTTATAAATACCCTGAAAGTGAGCGGAGATTGTGCTCTAATAGAGGAGCTTACATCCTGAGATTTACCAGTAAAGCTTAACCCTCCAATAGCTATAATCTGAATCCCGAATGAGACAGAAATATTGTCCATTCAGTGGGCGCCAGTGTTGCTCAGTCAGTCATTGATGAAATCCAGAGTGAAAGGCTAAACGTCACTGCAAAACTTGTAACAGTCACTACAGGTGTACAAAGTGCAAAGAGCAGACAAGCTGCAGTGAGGGTCCAGCGCAGTGTTTAGTGGCTCGCCGCTTGCTCTCTCTGTGCTGCTTGAACGCAACAGAATGGGAGCAATTCATTAGCGCTGATGTACATGTTCAATAACCCAGTTCGCTGTACGCCACTTAACCTAATCGGCCACTTATCTATATCGCCAGCGGACAGCTGTGCGTATCTAACGTGTGAGTTCCAGCCACGTGCCTCGAGCAGCAAGGATACAATCCCGAGCACCGCAGCCCGTTATTGGTGTGGGATTGTTACTGCTCCCCCACTGTCCCACTCTTTGGCGCTGATCCTGAGAGCAAGTTGATTGAATTTGCTTTCTCCTTTGTCTCCTCACACCCTCTCCCTCCCTCCCTCCCCTTAGATATTGTGAAGGTAAATTGCATTCCACCCGTCATCCTTCATAGCAGAGACGCATCAAATTAATCTCTAGCCAGTTCAGTTCTTTAATGAAAATACACAATTCGGATCATGGATCCACAGATTTCAGTGACGGTGCGGGGGTAAAATCAATCCACAGCACTGCAGCTCTGCTGTCTGGGACTGTCTGGTAAATCCACCTCTGCACTTCATGAGTCACAATCGCAATAAGTGTTTATTTGATTTGGCCGAACTATTATTCGAATGATTAATAATAATAATAATAATCCCTGCCTTATCACATCGTTGAGACTTCTCAAAGCGTTTCGCAGAATACACTGCAAAGTGTAGTGACTGTGTGTTTTGTAGGCAAAACAACAACAATAACAACAACGGATTGCATTTATATTCTGCCTTCCAGGTCGAGAGGACGTGCCAAGCCCACTGGAGAGTCGAGGGTTTGCACAAACTCAGAATAGTTATAATTTTCAATAAAACACTGCTGGAAATATTTTAAAATAATGTCAGAATAAATCTCAATATGAAAAGATCCCACTGACAATTCAGCGTAGCTTTGTGTGTGATTTTGTGTCTGATCGCTTCTTGACTCCCGCTGATAACACTTTGCTATTTCTAATGGTTCATTTCCCCTTCTTTGCACGCTCTTTGAATAATGAATATGTATGGGAGATTGCAGCAAAACTGGAGCTGATTTCTATTCAACCAGTGAAGTGTAGTTACTCAGCAGATTTAAAAGGGATGTTATATATCGCTCTGTTAAAGTGTCTTTCAAGAACTTTGCGGTAAACAATTATCCTGGTAACTGGCTATAGCATTTGCACCCCCAGATCTCATCTTAACGGCTTAATTTTCTTGTTATTATTTCGTTTTTTTTTAAAATGGAACAGTATCTTTAGGTTTTTGAACCTTACTCTCAAACTCACCATTCTGTTGCCGTGTCTGCCCTCCCTACCACCCCTCTCACCCCCCCCACCCCACAACCCCGTTAAGCTTTTTTGATTCAATGGCTGAGCAAATCTATCTTTGCGATTACCATGCATGGAATTCCCAGTTTGGTTTGGAAGCTCTTAAACATGGCGGTGAGTTCCCCCATGTGTCAGACACCCGGCTGACTGACCCAAAACACACAGGGTTTAAACCTGCACTTGTCGGATTTCAAATGACCAACTGATGCCAAACTCCTTGGAGGCAGCGAATTGTCACAGAATTACCTTTCACATCCGCCAAGCACCTCATAAAATGATTGAAAGGAACCGAGGTACTGAAGAGTAATTAAACCCTGTCACCTAATTGAGGTTCGAGAAGGCGGTGATCTGACATGACAAGAAAAACGCTTTTGATAGTGTTAATTAAAGCAATTAGGATTTAGGGTAATGGGTCAATCAGTCTTTGAAAAAAATGATGTTCTGTTTATTGGCGTTGTCATCTGCAAGGAGAGACCTCACTGGATCTGGGACTAAATATCATTTAAGATCTTAGCAACAGCTGGAGTAACAGGAGGCAAATAATATAAACTTAAAGGAACTGCATCTGACAGATTAATGGAGTGCAAAATAACAGCATAAACTGTACTACTCCACGAGCGTCAGCAAAGGGACAGACTGTTTAATGTACCCGAAATGAATAGATACATTTTTTATTAATGAAGATAAATGGAAAGCTTTCCAGGCTAACTGACTTATTGTCCGTTTCAAAGAGCCGTTGCCGTACACCGCTCCAAGAGCTGATTGTGCCCTGTATTATATTCCATTTTAATAATAATAATAATCCTTGGATTTGATACAGCGCCTTATCACGTTGTTCAGACGCCTCAAAGCGCTTCACAGAATATACAGTAAAGTGGATTGACTGTGTATTTTGTGGGCGAAATGCGGCAGCCAATAGCTCACAGCAGCGCCCCCACAAACAGTTGAGTGACCCAATTATTATTACTATTATTAGATAACTGACTGGATTGAGAATTGATTGTATTACACTGACTAGATCACCACACATGTGTTTTAAGGATCTCAACACCGGACCCAATAAATACAATTGATAATGAAAAAGAATAATAATAAGAAGAAGAATTTCACAGTTTGTCTTACGTTTGTCTAAGGAGAAGGATATTAGCCCCGATGAAGTCCTATTGAAGAGGGTTCAAGGTGCTGTTGTCCATATGGACTCGTTGACCCAGAATCTGGCTAAAAACACCATTGGGTTGGACAACACTTGTATCATTGACTTCTTCCTGGCTCTCGCACTGTGTAACACTGTGGTGGTTTCTACAAGTACACAACCCCGGCAAAGAGTAAGTCCACCTTACGTTGGTCAATTATTCTATGAATCTGTTTAGAAGTGAGTGTGGAGCAACAATACAAGTTGCATTTATAAAGCACCTTTCACTTTGCGAGGAATATGAAACGTTTGCTCTATTTCCGTGAGGCTCCCTCAGGAAATAACCAGAGAGATAAATTTTGTGAAGTACTGAAGACGATAAGAAATAATACGCAATAAAATCCTCTATTGGTTCAGACTGTATCATTCTGTGAAATGAACCTTAAATATTGCTGTAGGTCAATCCACTGGGGACGAACATTGTGAGGTTTAATGTGTCAATAAAATATCACTGAAAATGTGGTCCGCCAATGGTTTAGTGTATCGACTGGTTCAAGAATTTGAGCTCCCCATCCCAACTGTATCACAGTCATTAGGACCTAAAACCCCTTGTTTGCCCACAGACATGGCATTGCACTCGTACCTGTTGGACCACCAGGCTGGCTCCCAGGGCGAGTCTGTTCAACTGAGAGGAGCAGACATCGCAATGTTAACCCCCATATTCCTCTCTGAAACTTGAATCAGCCTTCACAGTATTGTGAGCTCCGTGTAGTTGTCGGCGATTGAGTCAAGATCCATATCAGAACTGGGATCAATGGAACAGTCTCCTCACAGTTCGGTTCAGCTCTGAAGTAAAGGTGGATAGTGTATGAAGTGCCTTGTCCTCACATAATGCCATGTCTCGCACTGTGGGCTTTTGGTTGTATCACATTATCATATCATTGTTACAAGACCAGATCTGTGCCTGTACTATCCACAGCAATAATAATAATAATAATCCTTGCATTTGGTATAGCGTCTCATCACGTCTTTGAGACGTCTCAAAGCACTTCACAGAATGTACTGTAAAGTTAATTGACTGTATATTTTGTGGGCGAAAGGTGAAAATGCACATCTCAGCACAGACTGGCTCCCAGGGCGAGACTGTTCCAATGAAACTCTGGTCTTGCAGTGGGTCTGACACACTCTCAACTCCTGCAGGATGCTAACTTCACAGTTAAATATTGGTATTTTTCTCAGATGGAAACACAGGGGAGAAGATGTACATTTTGTACTCTGATAGTTGGTATGTTAGCACCGGGATTGACCGCACAGCAGGGCGACGGTGCCGAGATTATTGTTGTGCTTTTGCTGATGACAACCCTGTGTTTATCAGCGATGTGGGTAAAGGAGAGAAAAGATGAGCAAAATGATTTGCACGAAAGATAAGGGTTCAAAATTTATGGCAGCGGCTTAATATATTCCTTGGCTTGTTTGGCATAAGGAACGTGTTCAGGAATGCTGCAAATATGTTCTGTAATCACTTATTATCACCATCCTTACTGTTGACAGATGTGCCTGTATTCACTGCACTGCTCCTGGACTCCCAAGTCGCACAGAGCTTAGCTTTTTCCCAGTCAGCAAACCGCTTTGTGTTAAAGCTTTGTGGAGTCCTGTAGCTCAGTGGTTAGAGCGCTCGCCTCGCAAGCGAGAGGATCTGGGTTCGATTCCCAGCCAGGGCAAAACCTTAGTCAAGTTTCCTTACTCCACTCGCCTGTTTACCTAGCAGTAAATAGGACCTGGTTGCTAGTCGATTAACGGATCGCTTTTCCGATGGTAATAATCCCCTCAAAAAATAATAATAATAATTTGGTCACTCAATCCACGACTGTTTGTGGGGACGCTGCTGTGCGCAATTGGCTGCTGCGTTTCACCCACAAAATACACAGTCAATTCACTTTACAGTGTATCCTGTGAAGCGCTTTGAGACGTCTCAAAGACGTGATAATTCGCTATGTCAAATGCAAGGATTATTATTATTATTTATAATTACATAGAATTGCAAAGAGTTATATGGCAGTAAATAGGCTATTTGGCCCCATAGGTAAAAAGCAAGCTGGCTTTCCGTGCTCAGTTTCCTGCTGTAGACTGGGAGTGGTTGCAAGTTTATATAAGGAGTTTTAACTGCGGGATTTCTGGTGAGAAGCAAACCATTAAGCGAATTGTTTTAATTGCAGTGGTTACCGGGAATACAACCAGGAAGGGTGTGATTCTGTCACAGTAGCTGCCGGTTAACCTCGGAAGGATATCATTAATTTTTTTTCTTAATCAACCAAATTCCAGGTACTGACCCCGTCTCTGCTAAAGCCTTCAGCAAACTCTCTGGAGAGGCTTCAGCAGCTGTTGCGCAAGCTGACCTGGACACAGACCAGTCCGGTTCCCACGCCGAGCCAGTCTGATTCCGATGGAGCGGGGTGTTGGCGTAGCAACAGGGCACGCTGCTCATCTAAAGTTAGCCCAACTTCGTCGCTTCTGACGGAGAGCGTCTCGGACGACACCAGATCTGGGGCCAACGGTGTCCCCGACTGGCCCCCAGGTGGACAGGTTGGTAACGAGGAGCCTTGGACCAACGGTGAAGCTGTTGATGAACAGGAGCCAGAGCTGTGCTACGAGGCTGAGAGCCCAGATGAGGCAGCGCTGGTACACGCTGCTCGAGCCTACAGCTTCACCCTGGTGTCTCGCACACCGGACAGGGTGACCGTAAGACTCCCACGGGGACACCTTCTGACCTTCGAGCTCCTGCACACCCTGGCGTTCGACTCAACAAGGAAGAGGATGTCTGTGATCGTCAAGCACCCGATCACCAAAGAGATCGCAGTGTACACAAAGGGAGCGGATTCCGCTGTGATCGGTTTATTGGAAGAATCTGCAAAAGGTAACGTCGTTTCTCCCGCAAGATACACAGTCACTACACTACACCAGTATTTTCTGTGAAGCGCTTTGAGACGTCTCGAAGACGTGATAAGGCGCTACATCAAATGCAAGGATTATTATTAGTATTATTTAGTAGTATCGTTACTTAAAGTTGTAAATGTTTTTGCTTACCCTTCCCTTCACCTCCTTCCCCCTAAAAAAAATCATATTCCCTTCCTGGGAAAGATGTTTTCTATTTTCAAGTGGAAGGAACCAAAACACAAGTGAGACATCTCTAAAGATCCTAAAATTGGTGACCAGTTCAACAATGGCTTCTGTTCCCAATCTCAACAGTGGTATAAACACGACGCTTATCAAACAGTGTGTTTTTGAACGAGAAGACTGACATAAAGTTTAAACAGATCTGTGTGTGTGAGTTTGTGTGTGTGTCTGTGTGTGTGCGCGTGTGTGTGTGTGTATGCACCTTTTACGGTCTATTCTATGAAGGGCTTTGACACGTCTAGAAGATGTGAAAAGTGCTATATCAAATGCAAGGATTACTATTATTATTATTTTGATGTGGAATTCGGCACATTATCGAGCACCGTCACGTGGTTGACAGTAAGTTTCTTTTTCTCGCTTGTTCATCAGATAACCTCGAGGAGGAGGCAGAGCAACAGAGGAAAATAACAGTGAAAACACAGAAGTATCTGGATGGCTACGCGAGAGATGGCCTGAGAACATTGTGCATTGCAAAGAAGGTAGACTGAGAGACTAAACTTTATTATCAGCGCCAGTGTATGTCAGCGTTTGAAGACTCATAGGAGCATAGAATCCTACAGCACAGAGGGAGGCCATTCGGCCCATCGTGCCTGTGCCAGCTCTTTGAAAGAGCCACCCAATTAGTCCCACTCCCCCGGCTCTTTCCCCACAGACGTGAACATATTTTCTTTTCAAATAGCAATCTAATGCAATGTGTTACTCATAATACTCCTTGAATTTGATACAGTGACTTTCATGTCGGGAGGAAATGTCAATGCGCTTTGCAGCATTTTTTTTCACAATAGTGTGCCTCAACTGTGTATTTTGTAGGCGAATGCGGGAGCCAAGCTTGCACCCAGCGATGTCCCACAAACAGCCATAAAGTCAATGACCAATTCTACCGTGTACAGTAAATATATGTGTATTATATTGAAGCTTTTGATACTCTTGATGATGGCTTGAGACTTGGAATACCTGCATGCTGATCGGTGCGTCCCGTTTAGGTGCTGAGCCAAAGCGAATACGAAAAATGGGCAACTTTGAGACAAGAAGCCGAGACCAGTATTGACAACAGGGAACAACTGCTTCTCGAGACTTCACTGGGCCTGGAGCAGGGCCTCAGATTATTAGGTAATGTTTCACATTTCTAGTCAACGCTCGGATCTCAGATTTGGTATAAACAGGTGTTTACATCCAAAAATTAGAATTCCAGCCCAGAGCATGGAAATTGGAATACCAGGCAGGTTGATAATAATAAATAATAATCCTTGCATTTGATCTGGTGCCTTATCACGTCCTCGCGACGTCTCAAAGAACCTTCACAGAACATGTTGTACAGTGAATTGACTGTATATTCAGGTTGAGCCAACTTGACGCATTGCACGAAGACCTGTGACTTGAAGAAGGGAAGGGCTAGTGAACAACAACAACTTGCATTTATTTATATAGCTCCCCTCACACAGGGTAGTGTCCCAGAGCAGAGCGCTCAGTGAAGCTCAAGGAAGCGTTGTTTCATAGACACATTACACTTGTGTCGCAAAGCAATGCTTTTTTGAACTCAAGAAACATCTTGCGGAAGATGTTAGACTAGAAAGCTTCGCTCCAGCTGTTGTATTGGTTTCATCCCACCACCATCAGCACCAAACCCAACACTGTTCAGTACAGCGAGGCCAGGCTGGCCTGGACTTCTTCTGAACGCAATTTTTCACCAGCTTCAATCCTCTCTGCAACTTATCAGCAGTAATTGTTATCCAGTGATCCTGTCTTTGAAAGACATCGACTAGGTCAATGAAACAAATGCTTGTCAGATTACGCAGGATATAAATATCCTGGTTAATGAAATCTGACTAATCTGTATCTCCGTTATCCTCTTTAAGAGGGACACTCTGTATTCCCACAGCAAACCATTTGCTGTGACATTGCTATGTGAAACTGGCTGCCACGTTCGCCCATAAAATACTCATAGCTACGTCACTCTATACAGTAAATCCTCCGTAGCGCTTTGAGACGTCTCGACAACGTAATAAGCTGCTATATCAAACGCAACGATGTTTACTGTTGTTATACTATTACAGGTCAAATCACTCTTTAGAGGTAATTCCTAAATGGTTTTCAGTGTTATTCAGACCAATAGCACTGCCTCTTTACCTGTAATACTTTTATATCCATTTACTTTTCTTAGTATATTTGAGATTCCTAAAATAGCTACTTTTTGCAAGAGCTTATTATATCAAATTGCAAGCATTATTATTATTATTATTATGATTTATTATTATAAGACTCCACCATTTTACCCCAGTTCCTGGGAATATTCTGGGATAATGGTCCAAAATCCTGAAATATCCACGCAAAAAAAAGATCGAGTTGAGAAATAATTCAACACAATGTTACGGCTTTCTTCTGGGCTGTGAATTTCCATGGTTCTTCCTACCACTGTGTCTGATGGTTTGTCTGTCAGGTTCCCAGGGCTGGATTGCTATAGTGTGACATTAGGCTGTTCTTCTCTCCTGCTCCTCAATGATCAAACTTGGTCAAGGAGTCAGGGATTATGTTAGACTATGGAGGAATGTTTCCTCTAAATTGGACCATTTGTTTAGTTGATGGAGGTAATCAGACACATCTCGTGATTAAGGCAGCTTTAGGAGGCCTGATGGCTTGAGGAGATGCTGGGAGCAGGTGCTAGCTATTGGCAGAGAAAGAGAACTTTACACCATCCATCAAGTTACTTTCCAGCAATAATGTCTGCGTTTAAATATTTATGGTGGGTCCAGTGGGGTTTAACAATGACAATGAGCGTTTACATTGGCTGTAATTCCAGATAATACCCTGATAGTCACCAAACACATGGATTATATTATTATTATTATGTTATTACAGTATAAATCATTCTGTGGAGGTCATTCCCAAATGGTTTTTCTTAATACACTTCAGCTTCCGAAAAGTAGCTGCTTCCTAAAATAGCGAGAGATGAAAACAACTGGTTTTGTTTCAATCATTAACAGCAAAAGCTGCATCTCACATACAGACACTCATTATCAGATGTTTTTAGTTTGACTCTCACTGTGCCTTCCCTCCTGCGTTGGTGTAATCCAGGATTCTGCAATTTGAATGCAATTTAAACCTGAAATGGCAACTAACTAGTCTCAGCCTGCAAGCAATGATTTTAACTTTCGATTTAAGATTCACAGAATTACAGGGCGCAGAAGGAGGCCATTCGGCCCATCCATCGTATCTATGCCGACTCTTTGAAAAGATCTACCCAATCAATCCCACTCCCCCGCGCTCTCCCCTAAGCCCTGAAAACTCGTCCTCCCAAAATAATCATCTACTTCCCCCTTAAAAGTTGTTATCGAATCGGCTTCCACCCCCTTTCAGGCAACGCATTCCAGATCCCAACAACTCGCTTGTGGCAGAACTGCAAACAATTCTTAAATTCAGCCTTAATCACAGTAAATCCCGTGAAGGGCTTTGAGATGCCAATCGACATGATGAGACTCTATCTCAAATGCAAGAATTAGTATTGTAATTATAGATTACAGTCATCCCACAGGCTAAATTTGGTGGAATTTTGTGCTTTACGGTGAAAGCCAGTGTGCTAACCCTGGAGTACGCAAGGCCATTAGTTGGATATAGAGGGGCAGCCAGTCATGGAATCTTACAGCACAGAAGGAAGCCATTCGGCCCATCGTACCTGTGTGGCTCTTTGAAAGAGCCAACAACTAGTCCCCACCCCCTGCTCTTACCCCAACCAGTCCCCACCCCCCGCTCTTACCCCAACTAGTCCCCACCCCCTGCTCTTACCCCAACTAATCCCCACACCCCGCTCTTACCCCAACTAGTCCTCACTCCCCCACTCCTACTCCATAGTATTGACATTTTTTTTTCTTTTCAAGTGAATATTCAATTCCCTTTTGAAAGTTATCATTGAATCTCCCCAGTATAATTGGATTGTACGCTCTTGGACGCTACCCTGCCTGAGGGAGCGCTATATAAATTGCAAGTTGTTGTTGTGATAACCGTGGGAACGTTGCATTAACCGTTCGAGTGACGGCTTCCAGTCCATCTGAACACTTTGGCTGGCGATTAGTTTCATTCGAATTTTGTTTTGTGCAAACAAAGGCGCCACAGGTATTGAAGACCGTCTGCAGGCCGGGGTCCCAGACACCATCAAAGCCCTTCGTGAATCAGGAATGCGACTCTGGGTCCTAACGGGAGATAAACAGGAAACTGCCATTAATATCGCTTACGCGTGCAAACTTCTGGATCCACAGGACCTTGTCTTCACTTTGAACACCAATAGCCAGGTGGGTGCAGACACTCATTTCTGTAAGGCTCTGCAAATTGGCTGGTCATCAGGCACAAAGCCACCACAGGACCTCACTTTGCCAGCAGTGTGTGCCAGCCTGGCTCAGTGGTAGTAGCACTCCCACCTCTGAGTCAGACGATTGTGGGTTCAAGCCCCTACATCAGGACATGGACTCACACAGTCTAAGCAGACGTTCCAATGCAGAGCTGGGGGGGGTGTTGCGTTGTGGGAGGTGCCGTCCTTTGGTCGAGACATTAAACCAAGGTCCCCTCTGCCTGTTCAGGTGGACGTTAAAGATCCCCATGTCGTTATTTGAAAAGAGAAGGGAGTTTCTCTCTCTCTCTCTCCCGGTGTCCAGGCCAACAATCCCCCACATAAAATTGGTCACTCATTCCATGCTTGTGGTACACCGCTGTGCACAAACTGGCTGCCGTGTTTCACCCACGTAATATACTGTAAAGCGCAGTGACTGTGTATTGCGAAGGTGAAATGCGGCAGCCAGTTGTGCACGGCAGCGTTGTCCTCCGCACACACACACAGCACCCAGTTGGTTACCCAGCATCAAGCTCACACTTGAGCAAGTTGATTAATGTCACAGCAAATACTCCGCTAAAGTTGGCAACGATTCTCAGAGCTACAGAGAGCCAAAAAAAAAATAGCTTGACATAGATTGTTCCGCTAACATCTGGATATCGAGTCAGGTTTTAGTGATTCTAATTATAGTCTTCAGCTCCTTAAAATGGAATTAGTTATCTTACGAGAGTTGTTTTCTCCAGTAGGCAGTGTGTGTCTGTGTGTGTGGGGGGGGGGGGTGGCGGGGGGGGCTCTCTCTCTCTGCTCGTGTATAATGCAGGAAACGATAGATTGCACCCTTCACAAGCATTCACACTTGGAGAGAGAATACAGATCGTAAATCTACACCAGAACACACAGTCAATTCACTTTACAGCGTATCCCGTGAAGAGCTTTGAGACGTACCGAAGATGTGATAAAAGCGCTATCTCAAGGGCAAAGATTATTACTATACAATAATATAAAAGGCAGCCAGACTTTTCAAAGAGGGGGACTGGTAGTCATGAACAGATTAATAATAAGATTAATTTACACCGACCCTATTTTAAAAGGATCATGGCAGTGAGCAGATATACAGTAGTTGGGTGTCAGTGTCTCAGAACAACACATGACATTTACGCAGTGCCTTTCATGTCGGGAGGACGTCCCAAGTCGCTGGACAGTCAGGGATTTGGACCCAAGTTGGGGGTTGGCATCCGGAGTGGGTGGAGGGCAGGGAGGCTGGGGTGCAGGAGGGTGGCCAAAGGTGCGGTCGAAGAGGAGGGTCTTGGGACGTGCTTTGAAGTGTCTGACATGATGTCTGCTGACATGCCCCTTTAAGAAAGTCCCATAAATACTGTCGCTGGATTTGCTGGTGGCTGTATAATGTTCTGGTTATCCTCGCACTGACTGCTCAGCAAGTCGTGCAGAACTGCCAAAGCTGCCGAGAGGCTTTTGCCGGCTCCTTTCATTAACGCACACCTTTGATGTATCGTATTGTTCTGCTCAATCAACATCAAAAGAGTTGCAGCGAGCACTGGCGGAGCAGAGTAGAACAATGGTCCCCATCACATAATGCTCCCATTATCAGATAAGCAAATGACGCACACTGACCTTGATTTGCTCTCGGTTGTGCTGAAAACTTCTGCATTCGGGACCTGCCAGCTCATCAGATAAGAGTGTGCCCCAAAGCATTCTCATCTCCCGAAACAAAGACTTTATAGATTTTATTAATTTCCTTTTTCCTTTCGAGTTGAGTTGCGAGCCCCATAGATCTTCTCCATCACAGTCCCGTGCTTTGTTCTGCATTCAGAATCGGGATGTACAGTAAAATGAATCTTAATAAGCAGAAGCAGCAGAACACAATTATTTTCTTCCAGGCTCCATGACGAGCCCTAGTTATGATAAGCAAGTCAATCCTACCCTGTCCGTTTGCATTTGTGCTATTTGGCACATTGACTTCTGAGGCTTTCACAATGTGCACTGTTGCTTCTTGAAGCAATACTGGGGGAATGGTTCTCCGCAGTGGTCCAATTAAGTACTGTGTGTTCTACTTTGAAATTGAGGAAAAAAGATAGAAAAAAAGGAGGGGGTGGTGGGGAGGTGTTGAATAAAAACTTCTATTACACACTTGGCAATTCTCAAATGTTGCTGTTTACCTCAAAGCCTTGATGGGAATCTTTACGATGCAAAGTGCCACATTGATTATCCAATGTCAATGTGTTTCTTCCAAATAATAATAATAATCCTTGCGTTTGACATAGCGCCTTATCAGGTCTTTGTGACGTTCTCAAAGCGCACACAGAATATACTCTAAAGTGAATTGACTGTATATTTTGTGGGCGAAAGGCGGCAGCCAATTGCGCACAGCAGCGTCCCCACAAACAGTCGTGGATTGAGTGACCACATTATTTGGTTTTGTTCAATCCCTTTGTTAAAAGACCCTTTCCCTCCGCCAACTATGAACACACAAATCAATTCTCCTGCGCAGTTAGGAACGGCTCGGAATCAATGCTGCAGCAAAGTTAATTTTTAGCTTTGAAACGTGTTGGCATTTGCAAATAAGTGTTTGGCATTTCTATAACCTTTCCCTGCTGCTCGGTACTGCAGATTAATTTGTGGCTCCCACTTTCTCTTTTAAATGTCACCCCAATGGGTGAAATGTGCTTAACAACATTACACCAGGAACATTCAATGAAGATGCAAGTAGCGACATGTGTGTGTGGCGGGTTTCCAGGGTGGAATTGAAGCTTAAAATTGACTCTGTGCAACAGACTTTCACCATCTCGGGATTATTTGCTTCCTTTGGATAAAATATGAAACATCCAGATTACTTTGTAAATGTAAATACGCCAACAATCTTTGTTGGTGAAATGATTACCATTCAGTCCAGGAAGTTCCAGGTTCTGTCACTGGGTCTGTGAGAGACTCTAATCTAAGCCATGGCAGAAATGGTGATGGTGATATTGGGGGAAGGAATTGATAATAATAATAATCCTCGCATTTGATGTAGCGTCTTATCACGTCTTCGAGACATCTCAAAGCGCTTCATAGAATACACCCTAAGGTGAATTGACTGTATATTTTGTGGGCAAAACGCGGCAGCCAGTTGCGCACAGCAGCGTCCCCACAAACAGCCGTGGATTGAGTGACCACATTACTATTATTATAAAAAAATGTTGATATTGATATTGGGGGAAAGGAAGAGATTACTACCCTTTCCCGATCACTACCAATAAGCTAATAATGATCCTTGCACTGGACATAGCGCCTATAACATCAAAAGCGTCTCACAGCAGAATTCCTGTCAAGTGTAGTAACTGTGTGTTTGTACCCAATCATCCCTGCTGGTAGGTTTGCATACATTGAAGGCAGAATTGGGCTCAGCTGCATTGCCCTATTTATGGAAGAAGTGAGCTGAATAGTCTAAAATGGCTTATTAATGTTAGTTACAATGCCTGTAAATAGCCCACTGACATTTATGCTTTATTTCCCTGGAGTTACAGAGATTATAAAAACCTTTCTCTTTGTGTAACAGGACACCTGTGAATCTCTGCTTGACGGCACTTTGGCAAAAGTGGTGAGGTCGAGTGAAACGCAGTGTGGCCCTGGTGTGAAGTTCAGCCCTGCTTCCTCTGGGTTCACAGTCAACCCTGGGCCGAACTTGGGCCTCGTCATTGACGGAAAGACGTTGAGCCTGATTTTCCACGGGAAGCTGCAGCAGAAGTTCTTGGATTTGGCGAGATGCTGCCAAGCTGTCCTGTGCTGCCGCTCGACACCTCTCCAGAAGAGTATGGTGGTCAAGCTTGTCCGAGAGCATCTGAAGGTCATGACTCTATCAATAGGTATGTTTCTCCTTACCTGGTGTCCTCCGTGATACACGTGGGCATCTCAGGTGTTTCTGATTTGACTCATTCTTTAATATTTATCATTTTAAAAATAAAATTGGTCAGCCCCTCGCTCCACGGCTGTTTGTGGGGACGCTGCTGTGCGCAATTGGCTGCTGTGTTTCACCCACAAAATACAGTCGCTCCACTTTACAGTGTCTCCTGCGATGCGCTTTGAGACGCCTCAATGATGTGATGAGGCGCTGTATCAATCGCAAGAGTTATTTCCATATGAATCTATGAGTCACATTCTACATAACGTAAGTTATGCTGTACACCGCCCAGCGCCTTGGGACGTCCTCCCGACATGAAAGGCGCTGTACAAATGTGATTGTGTTGTTGTTGTTTTGATGAATCATTTTGCTCTTAGCCAATGTGGGCTTTGACTTTTGCCGATTCAATTTAACATTCAGGTGATGGGGCCAATGATGTGAGTATGATCCAGGCTGCTGATGTGGGCATTGGAATCTCCGGTCAGGAAGGGATGCAGGTCAGGCACTTCCCGAAGCCAAGCTTCCCATCACTTTCCTTTCATCTTGTTGGGAGGACATCTTAAAGCGCTTCATAGGATATACCGTAAAGCGTGGTGACTGTATATTTTGCAGTTGATCATTGTGCTTACGAGAGTTGTCGAGGACTTTTCGTTGAGATGATAAACTGTTGTTATTTTGTGTTGTCAATCAGTTTATGCGGCGGAAATTGGAAATGGAGGAAGTTCTGCCCAAACGTTGTCCAGGGCAGAGAAGAAGATCCTGTGGCAATATTTGATTTATAGAATCATAGAATATTACAGCACAGAAGGAGGCCATTTGGCCCATCGTGCCTGTGCCAGCTCTTTGGAAGAGCCGCCAATCAGTCCCACTCCCACCCCCGCTCTTTCCCCATATCAAATTTTTATTTTTCAAGGACGAATCCATGTATCTCCTCTGCGGCCCTGGTGTGACCTGTGTTGAACGAGCCGGTTTAAAGTCTAACTCACAAATTCCAGTTGTGTTTTTGATACGGTGTGTGTGAAGCTGACAGATTGTTGCTTTACCCTGTGCTTGTATGCAGGCTGTGATGGCCAGTGACTTCGCTATCGCTCACTTTAAACACCTGAAGAAGCTGCTGTTAGTTCACGGTCACTGGTGCTACACTCGATTGGCCAACATGGTCATCTATTTCTTCTATAAGAATGTGGTGAGTAGATCGGTTCCTCGTTCACTGGGGCTGCTCCTTTCTGGAGCTACACTTGTGTTTTCGTGCTATCGCTTTTATTAAGTCTTAAACTAAGCCGAATTAATGTTAGTTTTGTGTACCGTGATCAGATCATCAGGGGTTGTTCCTCGTGTCCCTCTGCTCCACCATTGTTGGTCGCGCTTTCAGCCCATTATGCCCCCAAACTCGGGAACGCTCTCCCTCGATCCATCCGCCTTGCCCCCTCCTTCCCCATCTTATAGTCGCGCCTGAAGACATTCCTCTTACGACACACCTATACACACACACCTATACACACGTAGATCTATATACACACACATACACCTATACACACACACACCTATACACACACACACACACAATTTAATATCCCTGAAATCCTAATAGGATTTTGAAACCAGGTTGAATATCTCAGAGATGTTTGATCCCACATGTGATGTTCCTCCTCCACAGGCCTATGTAAATCTGCTCTTCTGGTACCAGTTTTTCTGTGGCTTTTCCGGTTGCTCTATGATTGACTACTGGCTGATGATCTTCTTCAACCTCTTCTTCACCTCCCTCCCTCCATTAATTTGTGGCGTGCTGGACAAGGACGTTTCCGCAGAAACGCTTCTTGAGTTACCGGAACTCTACAAGAGTGGTCAGCAGTCAGAGGTAATAGGCTTCTTAACTGTTCCCGCGTTGGTCAGGGAGAAGCGTTAGGCCAGTTTCCTTACTCCACACACGCACTCTTCTGTTTACCCGGCAGTAAGTAGGAGCCCGGTTGTTAGTCAATTGGCAAATCACTTTTCGGGGGGAAATAATCCCTTCCAAAATAAATATAAATAAATAATAATGATAGTAATTTGGTCATTCAATCCACGGCTGTTTGTGGGACGCTGCTGTGCACAAATCTACCGCATTTCGCACACAAAACGTACAGTCGATTCACTGTGAAGCGCTTTGAGATGTTTAGAAGACATGATAAGGCACTGTATCAAATGCAAGGATTATTATTATTATTATTATTATTTAAGGAACAGTTTAAGATTTCAGAGAGGGTGAGGGAAACCTTCTGACAGTCTCTATAAATAATGTTGTTTCTCACCTTCTCTTCAGGCCTACAATCTCAGCACATTTTGGATGACAATGCTAGATGCCTTTTATCAAAGTCTCGTCTGCTTCTTTGTCCCATACCTTGTGAGTAAAGTTGCTCTACATGTTCAGCGCTTCCCAACCAGTCTGTAGGATATTACTTTCATCTGACACCTGCGTGTTTCTTCTTTTGCGTTCAAAAGGCTTATCAAGATTCAGACATTGACATCTTCACATTTGGTACACCCATGAACACGCTGTCTCTCTTCACAATCCTGGCACATCTGGCAATCGAAACAAAAACCTGGGTAAGTCTCCACATCAGAAATAATAATCCTGGCATTTGACACAGCGCCTCATCACGTCTTCGAGACGTCTCAAAGCGCTTCACAGACTATACTGTAAAGTGAATTGCCTGTATATTTCGTGGGCGAAACGCGGCAGCCAATTGCGGGCAGCAGTTCCCCCTGTGGACCGCATATACACAGTCACCACATCTTAACTGCAATTTCTGTAAAACACTTTGAGATGTGTTGACATTGCAGGCGCTGTATCAAAGGTAAGAATTATTGTGACGACTACTGCACAGTAAGCTTACAAACCCTAGGAAGCTTTGCTCTTCACATTGTGATTAATGATGTCCCTCAAGCCCTGATCGTAGCATCCTCACAAACCAACAACTGTGTGTCTGCATACGTTTCTTCGTATTAAGTTTAACCTACAACCGCTTGAGTAACTTGGTTGGAATAAGCAATGGAGAGAGAATACAAATCAAGAGAGTTGCTCTTACAAGCCAATCCCCAGATGACTGTCTGACTGATGCACGCGGTTTATATAAGTATTCGCGTGTTTGAAGGAGCAAAAGCAATTTAGTCGCAAAATGATTCCTGAACTGCTTTAGCCATTGGATGCACTGAATAAACTTGGCCATGAACCGAGTGAAGAAACTATAATAAAGTTGTTGCGTTTTAACTCTAATTGTACAGTAATAATAATAATAATAATCCAAACTCAGGAGCCAATTTGCAGACAAAGTTGCCCCAAAAGCAGCCATTGAAGTGAATGACCAATTTTATCTGGGCGTTTGTAGGCCAGGATTCTAGGAGAAAGTGTCATGGGATCTTTAAGAATCTCCCTTCCAGATAATATTGGTCATTCACTTCATTGTGGCTGTATGTGAGGCATTGCTGTGTGAAAATTGACTACTGCCTTCATCTACAACTACACAAGAGTCACTCCACTTGACAGTAAATTCCGGTGAAGTGGCTTGAGACCTCTCGACAACGTGATAAGGTGCTGTGTCAAACGCGAGGATTTTTTAGTTAATTAAACCCTGCGCCTGCCCTAGAAAAGCCGAACACAGCCAAACCCTTATTGCTTGTGGCGCGGGCGGCAAAGCAAAGTGACCCGAGCTGGAGACTCAGACTAGACTGGGAGCTCGAAGCAGCCTGGTATTTCACTGGTTATTAATATCTTTCCCTGACAGACCTGGCTACACTGGGCTTCGATGATTGGGAGCGTTTTGTTCTACTTCGCTGTCACGATTGTGTACAGTGCCACCTGTGTGACGTGTAACCCTCCGTCTAATCCTTACTGGATAATACAGCACCAGTTGACTGATCCACTTTTCTACTTGATCTGTTTGATCACACCACTTCTGGCCTTGTTACCCAGGTAACCACATGCTTCTGACTGTAGAATAACTCAGTGAGCAAACTCCTTCTTTATTCCTGATTTGAAAGATCGAAGCCTCCTGTATAATACCGGGTTATGTTACGGAGAGTCGCTTAACCGGACAGTCGCTTTACATCTGGGGTAAACTCTGCAAACAGTCAAGTGACTGCACGTGCTAACGGACAGTCTAGTTTCCCCTCAATCCGACCCGTGCAGTATGAAAACCCGTGTTCACGAGATCCGACGAAGAAGGCCCTTCGGCCCACATCTTCCTGACATGATCTCAGCCTTTCAGAGTTCCCACCCACCCCAGGGGGAAGAACATAAGAACATACCATCCTCCCACAGAGTCATGGCCTCAAGCACTCTTCCTGGCAACCCATTCCGACCATCAACCACCGTGCTTATCTAATAACCCTGGGCTGGGGAGCTTTGTCACTCTTGACGACACTGAGAGACCACGGTGGGTTTCCTACTTTCTGTTTGAAGTATTTTCACCCCCTTTGTATTTCCAGGTACTTGTTTCGCAGTCTGCAAGGCACCGTCTTGAGTTGCCGTGTCCTCAAAGCTCGGCAACTGGACCGGCTAGAGAGAGAGCAGCGAGTTCAAGCCGTCAACCAGTGGCGAGGATTCGACTGGTCGCCTAGTGTTGCTGCCCTGTCAGTATCTCATGCAAACCCAGCTCGCATGGGCAACGTCAGCCCGGCCTATTACACAGCGAGTCATTGCGATTCCCAGGAACCTTCCCCAGAGCCGGCCAGGAGGAGGAAACCGCCAAACATCCCAGCGACCGTCCGGGAAGGTCCAGAGTCTTCCTGGCAGGAGAAACAGACACAGGAAGGAGGCAGCCAGGACTCTGCAGCAGGAGGAGCTGCCCATTCACTGGCGTCAGAAGGAAGAGAGAGTCTCTCTGTGCGCAACTGAGCAAAAATTAACCACTCGTGGAAACCGCCGTCCATTGGAAGCCTCACACACTACAGAGCTCTGTGAAGGGGGGAACGGGAGCTTGGTGCCAACTGCACAGATCTGTCCACAGCCCCCTACACCCCCCCAACCCACCCTACCCCACCCTGCTCCAGCCAGCACTGGGATAATGCAGGTTTGAACAGGAAGATCGTGATGATCGAGGCCCTCACCGTAAAGCTCATGGTCGCTGTTCATCCAGTGCTGACAGTCATCTCAGGAAGGCCAACCGTGATCGTCAAAAGAGCAGAAGAAGAAAACAGCATTTGGTTTGGCTGCACGGTGACAGCTGTGGCTACCTGCAAAATACACAGTCACTACACGTTTACATTAAATCCCGTGTTGGCCTTTGGCACATCTTCCTGACGTGAAAGGTGCTACATCAAAATGAGAGCACTGTTATTATCAGCACAACATTAAGGCCTACAGCCTTCAGCAATGCAATCTGAACATCACGAATGGCTGCCACCATTTGTACTGTTAACATTCTGTTTATTTCCTTGACAACCCCACAGTTCTCTCATGTGTAAACCCATTTCAGGTCGGGAGAAGGGAGCGAATGAAGGTGACCCCACAACATGATTGATGTGTTCCGGTTATTTGGTAAGAATATGGACATTAAAATGTACGGTGTTGCCAATGACCAGAAAAAAAATGTCTTTTAATCAGGATCTAATAGTATCGGTTGTCAATGAATTGTCGACTGTTTTACCAGAATTTTTTTATGACGAAACTCACTGAATCAGGTTAACGTTGATGTTTAGACTAATAGCCGTACATTTCTCTGTCAGAGACATCCTCCTGCATACCCTGAGTACGGACTCATTGGTTTCCAATGGCTGGATTGGCTGATGTGACAGGAACTCACTGCCAAGGTGGGTGGTTTTGGCAGCATTGACAGATCAGTGAGCGTTGCTGAGGTTTGCCATTGAACTGTGTCATAGATTGGTGCCTCTTTCACAAAGCACCGTTGCCTCTCATTCGCTCTACATCGTTTTACCATAAGAATGTCACTCGAGAAACGTCAGTTTCTTGTCAGTTTATTATTGGTTGGTTTATTGTCGATTCTGACCAGGAGAGCAGCTCTTGGGGTTTCAGCATTGACCGCGATGTAAGTGATGCAGATGCATTCGGTTTCTGCAACACTGCTCGCTCGTGCAATTTTCTTGATTGATTATCTCTTGATTGATGCTATCAATCTAGACTCGTGGCAAAGGTTCGGGCAGCTTCTTGGCAATAGCGAGGGCCAATTCCGTCCCACAGGCCACAAATTGGCCCCCTCTGGATTAGACAGACTGGCACTGAATTTAGGCATTTCACTCTGTGAATCCCACCTGCCACGAATGCATATTCATTTCCCCCCGGCTTTCTCCCCAGTGGTGTTGCACGTTGAACTTAAACATTTTTTATATGCGACAACACTATCCATTGGTCTTTAAAACTCGCCGTGTCCTTGCTCAGGTATTCGAACCAGTATTAAAATCCGAGTGGCTTTAACAGTGACGGAGAGCGTGTGTGGACTGCTTGCTGTGTGAGCTCTGCCGGAAACTGCCACAAAACTACATCCTCAGAATCAGAAATAAGAAAAATCAAACTCTCTGCTTATATTGATTTGCCTATTATGAAGCAGCTTAGGGTGGTTGTAAAGTTCTACCGCTTTTATTTTGAATAAAACTGAACTGTTGGATAATGTCATAATAACAATTCATAACAATTCATGATCATAATTAATAATAACTAATAATAATTGAGAATAATTAATAATAATTAATATTAATTAATAATAATTATTAATTGTAATAATCTTTGCATTTGATACAGTGCCTTATCACATAGTTGAGACGTCTTAAAGAGCTTCACAGAATATACTGTAAAGAATACTGTGTATTTTGTCGGCGAAAGTAGACACACTCGACACAGTGGTTATAAGTCTGTATCTTTTCCATCGTGCTTTGAGCAAAATATTATACATATATATACGTATATATACAGGCTGAACAGATGTTGTTGCCTGACAAAGTGACATGATATTTATCAGCAGTTACTGGGGTGATAATGAACGTGATTTGTGCAAGAATGTTGGGAACTTTACAGCTTCAGCGATTGTTTTGGTGTGAATCGAAATGGTGTGAACGCTGGGACTGATACCATTCGCAAACCATTAAGATTGAAGGCAGATATTCACGTTAATTGTTTCCATCTGACCACGTAGATTCTCAGCTCAAATCTGAACTCTTTGATATCCATTAAAACAGCACTGATCATCGGGTTCACAAATGGCACAAACAACTTTGAATACATAGATTATTGACCTGTTAGATATCGTCAGGAAATGAATGAATGGAAAAAGTTGTGGGAAGTGCCGTGATCTTTGGATGAGATGTTAAACCGAGTCTCCATCTTTCTGTTCGAGTGGATGTTAAAAATCCCGGGCCGGTATTCGAAAAGAGAAGGGAGTTTCTCTGTCTCCCCCGGTGTGCTGGCCAACAATCCGCCCAAATAAAATGGGTCACTCACTCCTTGGCTGTTTGGGGGACTTTGCCGTGCAAATTGGCTGCTCTGTTCACCCACAAAACACACAGTCACAGCGTCTTTATTGAATATCCATTATTGCTAATAACTCCACCCACACTGGTAACTATTACAGTGAGACAATGGGAAATATAGCGCTTTCAGAAAGTACTGACCGTTGAAGACTCAACCGGGGACAGAGTGACATCTGTCGGAATGTAGACCGACCTGGGCAGAAATATGAATGCCAGAACATTGAAGGCAGTGGGGAGCTGATCCTGGCTCTCCAAGGCCAGAGAGCACAGGTGTAGGTTTACAGGAGCGAAGCTGATAGCTCCAGATGTACACTGTCTGTGCCTTTCCCACTGCACATTCCCAGCCTGTTCTCACACCCGAAATTTGCCCACAGCCGATGTCCCACAAACCGCCATGGCTGACTTTTTCTCGGGCGAAATGTGTTGGTGTGGTTCTAGTCTGTTCCGTGATGAGCACAGGTTGACAACTTATAAACTCGTCATGTGCGCATTTGGTACTAAGTTGGTAAAGAAGAAGAGATGGCGAGAACAATCAGGGCAGAGGATGGAGATGTCAGTTCAGGACGGCAGGAGCAAGGCTGTGGATATGTCCTTAAGGACCAGTTGGGGCTGTGGGTAAAGGAAGCTCTCTGAAACTAGTCAATAATAACAATAATAATATCTTTGTAATTGATACAGCGCTTTATCATGGCTTCCAGACGTCTCAAAGCATTCACAGAATATACTGTCAAGTGTAGTGACTGTGTGTTTTGTATACGCTCTCTGCACTGGGAGTGCTTCATGTTGGATGGCAAAAGTCAAAAGTGTAGCCTTTCCCAATGCTGGAATCCATTGAGCACAAAAGCTCAATAAAAAAAAGCCTGAAATCCTGCCTTTCTCTCCGCAGTGCGAGAGCTAACACAGCTGGTTCTTTTTCCCCCTTCCCGCTGCTTAATTTGTTTCAAAGCTGACTCAACTCATGCCGGTTCTGAATATAAAATCGATATTTCAAAGCTGCACTGAACATGGATGTGAAGTGTTCTTGACTGAGGATCAAGTTCAAAGGCAGCCCGAGTCTTTTGTTAACAGGTTAAGTATTTTAAAACATCTACCCCTGGCCTGGTCAGGCCCTGAGTCGGATTTAAAATAGAATTTTGTTCCGATTCAACCTTCAATCCTGAAGATTTCCAACTTCTCTCTTCCTTGTTCCTCGCTCTCTCCATTTCGCTTGAGATCCCTCACACTCTTTTGGGCCCACTACCCATTCCAAATGAATTGTCCCCATGATGTTAACAGCAAAATCTTAGGCAAGTTTCCTTACTCTACAGGGCTCAAGGTTCCTTACATTGGGGCCTGAACTCATAACCTTCTGACTGGCACAAGAACAACAACAACTTGCATTTGTATAGTGTCCCCTTGTGCAGCGGAGAGTCTCAGAGCATTGATGACTGAGCTAGGCTGAGACTTGTGCAAACATATGGTTTAAAAACACTGGGTGCAAGTTTGCGATTATGATTGAATAATATCCATTTCACATCAAATCATATCGTCCGAACGTATTGCTTCCCATCTCCCCACCTTCCTCCGTACCTGCGCCTCACAGAAGCAAACAGCAGATTTAAAGATTATTCAATAAAAGAGCAGATGCGGAATGAAATACTTGGAAGTCTTTGAACAGGATTAGACCCTTCCCTTGATCTCAGTCAACACTGTGTTCGCAAATTCCTGTCTGTCAGATGCCAACGTTATTAGGGACTAATTTAATCATTTTTAAAACTTTGAATTATCTGTGTTAAGGTCGGCTTTTACAGCAGTCTCACCGTGTAATTCCTCCTCGTTTTATATAATAGTTGAAAGAACAGTTTTATGTTTTAAGCAAAAAATAACCAAAACATCCTCCAGGCGAGATTTTATGTCTTGCACTGTGTGCTGATGCTAAACAATTATTCATTCTGAGACTCGTGATCGCTCATGGTACAAATGCATTGAATATTCTAATGCTGATTAATTACCCTGATAGTGATTGAGATCTCTCACACTCTTTTTGGCCACTACCCATTCCAAGCGAATTGTCCACATGATGTGTCCATATCCAGCAAAATCTTAGGCAAGTTTCCACACGTCTCTGTTTACCTACAGTAAGTAGCAAACCACATGTTAGTCAATTGGGGACTCGCTTTTCCATTGGTAATTAATCCCTTCAAAAATAATTTTAAAAAATAATAATTTGGCCACTCAATCCACGACTGTTTGTGGGGACACTACTGTGTGTAATTGGCTCCCGTGTTTCACTCACAAAATACACAGTCAATTCACTTTACAGTGTATTCTGTGAAGCGCTTTGAGACGCCTCAATGACGTGATGAGGCACTGTATCAAATGCAAGAATTATTATTGTTATTCATAATAAAACCCAAATGTATTATAATAGTAATAATAGACTTTGCATTTGATGTTGTGCCTTTCGCACTGGGAAGCCATTTGATCACGCTTCACAGGCTATACTGTAAAGTGTAGTAACTGTGTAAACTGAAATCTGACTTGTTAACTGAACCAGGGTTAAGAACATTCATATTTCAAAATGAGGGAGGAATAGAGTGGCATAGGAGAGAGGAGT